TCACACAACGACCGGTAATTTATGCACGCTCCAAATATTTTCAAATCTTCATCAATCATTGTGACGTCACGATGTTAGCGTTATGTACAAACAATATTTGATATGAAACGATGATGAGAAAAAGCTAAATATGAGACTTTTACCCAATGAGGATATAACACACATTTGTGGTGTGGGATTTACTTTCTATGATTATTTAGACACCACTGACTTGGTACGGTGAAGGTTAACATGTACTTGATCCTGTACTTATAATTTCTAATTATAAGTTTGTAATCGCCAACCCGCATTGAGCAAGGGTGGTGATTAATTCTCTAACCTTCTCCGCCTTTGCTCAGCAATTGGCACATATAGGCTGATGATGATGATGATGATGAGATGGGACTTAACAGGGTCAATAAGGTACCGTGGCGTCGGCCTGGAGCATGTGAAGGATTGGGTGGTTTTCAGTTAGTAAGAGTCTGACACTCCCTTTCACCTCACCTAGGTGAGAAAAGAAGTCATTATTTTGAAGATCACTCCTCAAAAAAAAAAAAAAAGAAAAATTGACATGGTAATGGTGGCCAAAACTCCTCATTCAGCAGTCAAGCCACAGCAAAAAACCACTCATGACAAAAAAGTAATGAATTGCAAAATGGAAATTAGAAAAAACTGATTACTTTGTAATTGGTTTCGATGTCGCTTTGTATGCCGTATGTTTGGGGCACATTTTTTGATGAGGCAACCTTGTATGCGATGATTTATTGCATATGAAAATTGGTTATAAGTACTTAATTAAAAAAGGACGTTGTTATTGTCTCCGTCTGTCTCTCTTGGGAAATTAATGGTTAGGCTAACTGCGATTTACACGTACAATTCCAGTTAAAAACATCGTTTCGTATCATAAATAACTTTCTCTAAATAGAGGTCTTGCTCCTGAGTAAATAACTGTGACAGTATTTTAAGAAAATCGCAGTGACATTAATATTACTAGATATTTAAATCTATTCTCGGAAAATAATTGCACTAAGATTTACTTCTGTATCGTGGGAGCGTTTACAAACCATACAACTTCACATACATATCACACCCAGATTCGGAAGAAAAAAATATGATTTAAAAAAATAGCTTTGCCCCACACTAGGATTTTCTACTGTATCGTGGGTGCGTTTACAAACATACAATTTCACATGCACATCACACCCTGACCAGGAACAACAATTTGTGGGTCACACAAAGAGTTGTTCCGTGCGGGAATTGACCCCGCGACACGTTGCACGGCAGCCACCGCGCCAACCGTGCAGTCAAACACAGATATTTTCATAAAAATCACAAAAATACTTAGGAAAGATTTACGAATTAAGTCTTAAAAATATATTTAGCAAAAATATTCTACATTATGTAGGTACTACGTTTCGCCAGAAAATGCTAAAATAAAACGTTGTATCTACCAACCGGCTTAGCTTAAAGACGGAGCCTGGAAATAAGTCACGTAACACAAGATAGCGATAAAGATATTCGTAAGAAGGAAACGGTTGAACAGACAAACAAACGAAGAGAAATTTACCGCATCCACGTAAGAATACGATCGCTTAGAGATTACTTCTTGTCTCTAACAGCAGTTCGACAAACAATATAATGTATGGAGGTATTACGGCTTATTCAATACTTTTATCAAATACATACGTCCATGTTTATTCTGTAGATAGAAGAAGGAATATTTTAGGCTTATTTCGAGTAATGTGTGTTTGTAAAGTAAAGCTATTGGATTGGTTATGGTTTTCGAAAGTTTTTTTTTGTGTTTGTTATAAGTAGGTACCTAAGGATGAAACTTGTCCTAAATTATAACAGTGCAATCACACAAATGTTGGAGAGCCATGCTTCGGCACGAGTAGGTCTGCTCAACCGAAGTGATACCACGGCCTCACAGAAAATAAGCGTGAAACCACAGCGTTGTGTTTAGCCGTGTGAGTGAGGCAGCACGGATCTCCCACACTGATAGACAATTCTATTCTTTGCCAGTTAGAGTCTAGACACTCCCATTACCGCAATCAGGGTAGGAAAAGTCTATGCATAATTTCCTCATTCCCACCCGCCCCTCTTAAAAGTCTTATTTTACTTGAATTACTACCACGACTTCTAATTCTTCAAATACTAAAATCTTAAATTCTACAAATACTAAAAGATATATACATATAGAGCGCCAGCTATTAATCTACTAACAGCATACAAAAAACTTTTATAGGAAAAAAAACACAGTTTACTAATACGATAGACGAAAATACAACCAAATATCATCACCATAAAGTCCTGTATGCCATATATCGTTGCATTCTCATTTCCTTCGATAGTGATTTGATACAACAATCTGCACTACGATCGTGTGCGCTTCTTATCTGCACGCTATTTATATAACGCGAGGTGAGCTGCCTTCAAGGTAATCACGTTAGCATCTACACGGGGTGGCGGAGGATTTAAATGCTGTTAGTTAGAGTACTAAGTTATTATGGCCTAAGTTTCTAAGTTAGGTCTGTCTGTACTATTGCCGGGGTTGCGGGGTAAGCGCAATGAGGCACCGCGACCTCGGCCAGGAGAAGGAACGGGGGGGTTTCTAGTCAGTAAGAGTCTGGCACTTCCTCCCGCCCTACCCTGGATGGGAGAAGTCATTTGAGGATTTTCTCTTCACAAAAAAGGTCTGTATTATTGGATCTGGCCAGAACAAGACCCGAGCGTTAAGTAGGTAGCGTTCCGCTCGCGCCTCATAGAACCAATAGACCACCACAGATCTGGCCACAGCCGGGATTGCGGGGTAAGCGCAATGAGGACCTCGGCCCATAGCGGGAGAAGGATCGGGGGGTTTTTAGTCAGTAATATTCAGACACTCCCTCTCGCCTAATCTTGGGCGGGAGAAGTCATTTGATGGTATTTCCCTACCAAAAAAAGGTTTGCATTATTGGATCGAGATCATAAGCACGGGTCTACGGGCCAGAATCACCCTACGTGCTGTATGCTCGGGGCGTACAGCGCGTAGCGTTCCGCGCGCGCCTCCAAGAGTCAATAGACCACCACAGACGGGGCCCTATAGGGCTGATGTTCAGCCGGGGTTGCCGGTTAAGCGCAATAAGCTACCGCGACCTCGGCATGGAGCAGGGAAGAAACGAGATGGTTTATAGTCAGTAATAGTCTGGACCTCCTCTCACCTCGACCTCTACTTTAAACAACATTGAAGTAAATTAAATAACTGTTTCTGTACACTACCAAATAAACATCTGTCCCATAACATTCATGTTTGAAAACGATATATCTTTGAACCGTTCGCGTTCGAGGAAGTAAGAGAATGTGAAACGCTATCACTAGATCTCACGGACTGATAAGAAAGCGACGTGGAATGTTTCTATACGAACGGAATGTATTGTTTGGTGGGGAATATGTTTTATACGGTTTGTTGTTGTAAGTACATGTTGGTTCGCTGGCACGCAGACAGCTATTTAAAACAGTTAATTGAAACAGTAAATTTGCCTAAATAATTTTAAGTCTAATTTTAGACTGCACGGCTGGTGCGGTGGCTGGGTAACTGGCTCCCGTGCAATGTGTAGCGGATTCCTTACTGAACAGCTCTTTGTGTGATCCATAAGTTGTTGCACTGTGTGTGCTGTGTATGAGAAATTCGAATGGTATATCACACGTGGCCATGTGATCCAATAGCACACGAGATATATGAAAATCACAATTTAAAAAATAAAAGATAAGTACGTTTTGCTTCAAGCAAATCTTTCTCATAATATAAATATATTAGTTTCTTTTCCGCACGAGGCGTCGCACGTCTATAAAAATAATATAAACCGTTTAAAGCGATAACTCGACTAAAATAGGAAAATCAAGTATTATTTATATCCTATAGCACTCAGGAACATTTTAGCTATGTATCAGTGAAAGAATTTTGGCAATCTGACCAGCGGTTCCAAAGATTACCCCTTACATACAAACTTATTAGTTTTACCTCTTTATAATATTAGTATGGATAATCAATCAAAAATGCACAAGAAATAACGTGCAGTTATACCAGAATAATCCCAAAACATGTTTGTGTGCATAGCTTTATATAGAAACTCAATCTGGGACACAAGAATTCAGCAATAATCTCTCCCCAACCTTAGAATAACCATTTTCTCATACCATAACTTCGTTTACCCTTCATTTACCTTTTACCCAATACATGGGGTACACTAGCCAAATAATAATAGGATACCAAGGCTAAACAATATCACGAAGTAATTTAATTGCGATGGTGCGATAGCCTATCTCTTAATAGCTTTTTACGACGCTGACGGCAAAAAGAAAAACAAAGATAGGAGTACTAGATAGTTGTCTATGGATATAATAGTTTTAAAATTGTGTTGTGTAGTAGATGAGATGTGTATCATAATATGAAAAAAGTTTAAGGTTTTATTTTATTTTCTGGCAGTTACGTCATATAATTTTGTGCTATGTTTAAAAATGTATTGTAAGATTATGTCTTCTATTTAGTAAGGAGTAACTTTCATTAATTGTATTAATTATAGATATTTTAATTGTGTTACCGCCCCGGCTTTACTCGGTTGCAGTGCAGATAAAAAAATCTTAACTATTTAATGCACACATATGAACCTTCCTTTTCAATGACTCTATCAATTAAAAAAGAACCGCATCAAAATCTGTTGCGCAGTTTTACAAATATAGATAGAAGTATAGACATAGGGATACAGGGACAGAGAAAGCGACTTTGTTTTATACTAGTATAGTGATTATATTATTTTTAAGGGATAAACACAGAGAAGCAAAGTTGTTGCAAGTTTGTTGCCAGCCATTGTATGGATTAGGAATTTGTATTAAGTAAATGAGTATTCTTGGAATGGTCTTCTAAGCTGTATCCTCATTATCATATATATACATGCGTTGTCCCTGTAGGTCTTCTGTCAAGACGGCTCATTTGTGTCGAAACATGGCGAGCTGATCGCTAGTAATAGACAAAAAATACTTACAAATGTGGAATTGTTCATGAGTAGCCTCGTGGTGAAGTTCTTCACGTTGAACAGCGTGAGACCCCCCCATCGGTCTCTGAACACCAACTCCTCGTCTGAAACAAGACAAATTGAGATTTTAATGACATCTCATCTAAAATCCATAATACAGTATTGGACTAAAGACCTGCTTTACCTAATATATGGGTTTGTGATAATCTCCAAATTTCGTTTGGAGATCGCAGTTAAGAATATTTGGGGTAGTGACTGACTAGCTATACTCTTCTTAGCTTTTTTGTTGTAAGAGTTATTAAAACTACAACAACCTATTTCGAAATTACTACTTATACATACAAAGAGCAAATAGACCACCATCCGACGGCCGCAGCCGACGCCCAGGGCCGATGTTCAGCCAGGGTTGCGGGGCAAGCGAAAAAAGGTACCGCGGCTTTGGCCTGGAGCTGGCGAAAGAACGGGGGGGTTTTTAGTCATTAAGAGTCTGACACTCCCTTTCTCCTTAACCTAGGCGAGAGAAGTAATTTTTATAATTTCCCTCGTCATAAGGTCGTAGTGGCCATGAGCTGAAGGCGACTGCATTTTGCAAGTACCAATGACTTTTCCCAGTTATATGTACTTTCTTTGATTAACACACCACTGACATACGGCGACGGAAACATCGTGAAAAAACCTGGAAGGACCTCTGAATTCCTAATTATAAGTTTGAAATCGCCAATTCGCCTTGAGCAAGCGTGGTGATTATTGCTCAAACTTTCTCCGTGTGAGAAGAGGCCTTTGTTCAGCAGTGGGCACTTATAGGCTGATGACGTGTATGATGTGATTTTCTTTCCTCAAAAAAGATATTCTATATACTACATACACATGTATAACTTGTAGGTAACCCTTCAAACGGTACATGTGTAACTTTTTCATATCAGACCCTGGAGTACCTTACAAAAGCGATTTGCACAGCAGAGTAGAAACAAAAAGGATTTTATTACGAGAATAGAAGGGCTTACTGGGAAAGTGGACGGATAGAAAGGGGCTCAACTTACAGTGGAGTTAATCAGTTTATTGGGGAAAATCCAGTATAACGTGGCCGGCTAGAAATAAGAATAAAAATACGCTGCTTATAAGAAAAAAGGGGTGTTTGGTCCCTTTTTATATGAGTGCGATGGTTCTTGTAGATGCTTAGAATGTGATATGTGTTTTATTGGATATGAATTAAATCTATTAGTGTGTATGAATAAAGAATGGATTGTCTGTGATTTTTTAGTAGTGCTTATATTTTATCGTTATAATATATACATATATTATTGTGTAAAATAAATGTGTAATCAAAATATTGTCAAATAAAAGTAGAGCGAATTGTAAAACTGATAGAAAAAGAGTAACCATGGAGTTTCTTGCTCGTTCTTGTCCATAGGAATCTACACTTTGGAACGAGCGAATAGCTTCACTAGAGGACAGACGAACAGACTGACACGCATAAAGTTAAACCTCTTGAAATATATAATTTTTTTGCTTGACGTTCAAAAAGTTAATTTAATCAATTAGACCATAGTAGAAGTAATAAATGATTTTGGTTTTGACTTTGAGCTCGACAAATACAACATTTTATTTTCGACTGTAGTCAGATACGAATTCTACGTTTTTTTACCTGATGGTAAGCAATTGGCGCCGCCCATGGATACTGGCAATACCAGCGGTGTTACAAGAGTGTTGCCGGCCTTTTAAAGTCTTGGAGAAAATGAGGAGAAAAATTGGGCTTCTGTTAATCTCACACACACGGCGAAACACAACCCTCTGGTTGTTTCGTACACGTATCACTTACACATCACTCCGATCCAACCGATCCATTTGGGCTGAGCTTGACCCTCCCACACTTAGAATATAACTTTCAATTATTCCACTAATAAGTAAGTAAAAAAAAATTCTGATAAATTCAGATTAAATAACTATTTGGAATATTGTAACAATGAAGAACGTTTAATATATTTTAAGAACCCTTTATATTTTGACCCTTACAATAAGCAGTTGTCCAAAATATACCTACGAATTTCTCTCCACGAAACAAAACGACATTGATAAAAAACTTTTAGATAACAAAACCTTCGTTACAGACGGACACGTTACTTAAATTAGAGGTTTAATTCCAGTGGTTATACCGAAACAGGGAGAGGTTATATAAAGTAGTTTGTTACCCCACCGTTACCCCAATCAATCACTCGGGTAGGTACACTGGACCACTTTTACTCAGATACTGACTAGGCGTGAAACGTATTTATCGACACAAGTATACGTAACAGGTATCGTATAAATAGTCTTATTATTTGTGGAGGTGAAAATTATCAAATGTCTTCTTTTACCTTAGGCGGCATGAGGGAGTGTCAGACTCTTACTGACTAAAAACCCTCGTTTCTTTTCGTGCCACAGGCGGAAGCCGCGGTCCTTATTGCGCTTTCTTTTCTTAGCCTGGGCCGCGATTCATTATTGTACTTGTACCCATCTGTAAGGATAAATTCAATCCTAATGTCCAGACATCCCTCCACAAGCTTGTCAAAGAAGAGGGGACAAACGGCCCCATCTGTGATTTAAAACTAAATTGTTCTAAACCTAATTATCTAGATTCAATTACATCGCCTTGTTGTGTACTGAGGAAAAAAAGATTTAAAAGAAACTTCGCTTTGAGAACATCTCTAAAAATAAAATGGAGCTTCGATTAGGTTTGTTTTTTTATTTAATGATAGACAAGAAGCTAGTTAATGTTTATGGTTGCAGGTCGTATTTTTTTAAATAGTTTTTTTTTGTATTTGGGTGTTATATAATTTAATTAATATTTTTGTTACAATAAAATTTTAGTTGTTAAGTGTGGGGAGAGTCATTCTTCGGCACGAATAGGTCGGCTCAAACAGAGTGATACCACTGGCTTCACGGTAAAATTGGTGTAAAACAACTTTGTGTTTCGCCGTATGAGCGAGGTAACGAAGGCCCAATTCCCCAACTCGCCTTGCCTCAAACCCTTGGAAATGCACTTGCAGCTGGTGTTGCAGGTGTCCATATGTGGCGGCAATTCCTTACCCGTCAACCCGTCTAATCATTTACTGTTTTATCTTATAAATACTTAGTCGGGTCATAAGTTCTGTCACAAACTTTTGATGTAATAACTTATACGCCTTTTGACAATTATTTAAAAATTATATATGAAATGAAAGGTCATTAAATGTACAATATAATTTTATTTACATTATTCGAAATGCCCTCCCCCATTTTGAACACATGCCCTTAATCTACGCGGCCAGTCATCGATCGCTGCACGCACCACATTCATATCTATGTCTGCCGCTGCTTTAACCAGAGATGCTCGGAGAGACTCCAAATTCGGGTGAGGTTTAGCACAGACTTTTTCCTCCAAATATTGCCATATCTTGTAGTCCAGTGGGTTTAAATCTGGACTAGAAGAGGGCCAGTCTTCATGCCGGATGAAGTCAATTCCACGAGCGATCAACCAGTCTTGCGTACTTCGTGCCTTATGAGCCGGTGCAGAGTCCTGTTGGAATATCCAATGCCTGTTCCTGAACATTGTCTGAGAAAGAGGTTCCACTATGTTTGTTAGGACAGTATTTTGATAAACTTCGGCACTAGTTCTCACACCTTTTTCACAGAAAAACACCTCAGTTACGCCTGAATATGAGACTCCAAGCCAAACCATGAATGAGGAAGGGTAATGCCCACGCTGGACCCTCGCAATACGCGCGCTTGCTTCTTCACTGCTGTGGGCATACACCTTATCATTTTGTTTGTTAAAACTTTCTTCAATAGTAAAAATTTTTTCATCCGAAAAAAGAATTTCGCGGTATTTTTTTCCCGCGTACCGTCGTAGCAAAGCGCGGGATCTGTCTAGCCTAATTTTTTTTAAACGCTCGTTCAAAAAATGTCCTGTCTTTTTACGATAAGCTCGTAGTCCCAGGTCTTCATTTAGTACTCTTTTAACAGTGGTTCTGCTTAGCCCCATCTGCAGAGCTAGGATTTTTTGTTTACGTACGGGATTTCGTTCGATTCGCGCCTTCACTGCTTTGATGACCTTATGTGTCCGAACTGTGCGAGGTCGGCCGCTTCTCTTACGATCTTCGAAGCTTGACTCTTCGGTGTATCGTTTGATAGTACGATAAACAAACCGTAACGTTATTTTCAAATTTTGAAGAATATTGAAAATGTCTTTTGGCGCGTAACCACAGCGGTGCAACGCGATAACCGCAATTCTGTCTTCTTTATTCGACCACTCCATATTTAAAAATGAATAAAAAATAATTTCTTTTTTATTTTCTACAAGCGCGAAAGTTCTATTTTTAAAATAAGTCGAAGAATTTCTGGCCAGTAATCGAAAATTAAAAATATAAGGTTTTGACAGAACTTATGACCCGACTAAGTATAATGAGTGCCTGAATCACTACCTCCATCTCAATTCATCATAGCTCATGTTACATGTTCAAAAGGATCTGGTACGTAGCTGTTATTCAGGATTGCGAAAAAAAAAACTCTTAAGTTTGTCATTTTTATATTTATTTATTTTTAATTTACTTATCTTCAGCTCTAATGTTTATTTCGCGTCGAGTTCAATATCCGAGTTCAGCAAACTAGACTATCGAGACAAATCTAATTATAATATTTTATTTATTGATTTATGTATGTACATAGGCGTTACGCATATACCTATCGAATTTTCTTATTAATATTTAAATACAGTGTATAATTAAATCATTGAGGTTTATTAATTCATGAACGAAATAAAGTAAAAACATAAAATAAACTTTAAACAAGATACCAACTTATGCAAATTACGAATAAACAAATATCTACATAAAGTTTGACTTTGGACTCGCCTCTGAATGAGAATAATTTCAATATACTTATCTATTTTCTATAATATGAAAATTAATTGAAAAATGTGTTGGTAAGTGCGTAACTCAACGACTCATGGACCAATTTTGCAAATTCTTTTGTTATCGTCAGGAGAAAGTGTTACGAAAATCACTTTTCTAATTGTAGGATACTTAAAATGGGATAGACGAAGCCGTGAAGGTTCGCTAACGACATAGGTGAATATCCGTGCTAATAA